TCGGTTGCTTGATGAAACTTGGGAGATTTGAATAAATTATACCTCTCGCCGCCTTTTTCTCTCTCGGAGGCCGGCTTCTCCCAGGGGTAGCCACAGTTCTTCCCCCGCTTTGGGGAGTCCTTCCTTGATTTCGGCCGACTGTCTCCTGGCGTTACCAGGAGTCGACACATCCCCAGTCGTCTGTTTCCTGACCTTGGGGTCCGGCTGGGAAGAAGAGGAAGGTCTGGCTACATCGCTCGGCAACACAAGTCATTGAGTCAGAAACAGGCGACGGATATAAAAAAGAAATTGTGCTAAGTTAAAGTAACTCACCCTAAGCGCCTGTTTGGCAGGCGACTCCTCAGTGGACCGCTTGCCCAATGGCCGCGCGGATTTGGGCGACTGCTTTCTTGGAGGCCGAGATTTTGTCCATAGCTTTATCTGCAAAGATGAATCAAATGGTTAGACGCTGAATTAGCCAAGTCTTTCAAGACACTCTTAACAGGCGGTCCACTACCTCACGGCATCTCCTCGCTAAGTCGCAGGCGGCCAGATATGTCCCATCATATAACCAGTTATACTTTGGGATGTAAGTTTGAGGGATGAACTCCCTCACCCCAGTCTCGGGGTTCGCCTGTATATCAACTTTGAAGAGCCCTCGGTCTAGGATCTCTTCTTTTGATTTCGAGGAACAGGCGGCAGACCAGATCCGCCTGTCAAGTAAGGTGGATCCCTGTTCCACCTATTGAACTTCTTGTTCTTGACCTTTTCAGAGTGGGATACTATGTAGAAGGTGTTTCTCCAATCCTTCCACTTGTTCTCCTTCCCCATGGTCATCATGTAGCCCTTGTGGCTAGTCAGCTGGAACCAGCCAGTCCCGCTTGTTTTTGGGGTTCGACTGAGGTAGTTCATGTGAGCAAATGCTTCAAAGCTTGACAATTAATTCAGAAACAATTAATTCACATACATATTAACTCACAATTATAGAAAGTCAGACACCTGACACCTTGAACTAAGCAATTACGCATTGCAGATACTCTCTTGGTGTCCAAGAGAGACCCTTTAGTTTCCGCACTTTACTCCTCAAACACGTTCTAACTTGATCGTCGGAGGCGGAACTCCCACCCACAGGAGTCTCCATTGTTTTGCAGGTACAAGCATCTAGAGGTCGGTCTTGGAATTATAACTCTCCCGCAGGACATCAAAAAACCCCGAAACAGGAAGGTATAAGACAAGTGTCGCGGTATGAAAAGTTCTTGAAGGAGTTATGCACTAACAAGAGGAGATTGAGTGGAGATGAAAAAGTCAGTGTAAGTGAGGATGTGTCTGCTGTGTTACTGAGGAAAGTTCCTCCAAAGTGCAAGGATCTAGGTATTTTTACTATACCTTGTAAAATAGGTAACACGAGATACGATAGATGCATGCTAGACTTAGGAGCTTCTATTAATGTCATGCCTTTATATATTTATAAAGCTTTGAACTTAGGACCTTTGAAAGACACTCGAGTGATTATTCAGCTTGCTGACCGTTCTAATACATATCCTATAGGAGTAGTTGAGGATGTCTTAGTGCAAGTGAATGAACTGGTATTTCCTACTAACTTTTATGTTTTGGATATGCCAAATGATGAATACCCTAGTGCAACACCTATCTTATTAGGAAGACCTTTTCTGAAAACATCCAGAACTAAAATTGATGTTCACAGTGGGGTGTTGACCATGGAATTTGATGGGGAGATTATCTGGTTTAATTTATTTGATGCCATCAGATACCCCTTTGATTGTGAATCTGTTTCTAGTATAAATGTCATTGATGCACTAACTGAGCAAGTATTTTGTCTCTCTGGTCATGATGGGTTAGATATTGTTTTGACTGAACCTGTGGAAAAAGAGAAATATACTGACTTGCAGGAACATTTTGAGCTTGAAGATGAGATCAAGGAAGCTTTCCCTTCCTTGGAAGTGGTTCCAAATAAGCAAGGAAGGTATGCAGATCGTTTTATGAAATTGCATGTCACATCTAACAGACTTTTGCCTTCTATTATACAGACCCCTGAAGTGGAACTAAAGCCACTGCTAGACCATCTCAAGTATGCATTTTTGGGAGAAAATGACACTCTGCCAGTCATAATCGCAAGTAATCTAACTCCGACTCAAGAGAAAAAGCTGGTGCAAGTTCTCAAGGAGCATAAAACAACTCTAAGGTGGACGGTTGCTGATATAAAAAGAATTAGCCCCTCTATGTGTCAGCATAGAATCTTATTAGAAGAGGGAGCTAAACCTGTGAGACAAGTGCAGCGACGACTTAATCCACCTATGATGGAAGTGGTGAAGAAAGAAGTAATGAAGCTTCTTGAAGTAGGGGTGATATACCCTATATCAGATAGCCCTTGGGTCAGTCCCTTGCAAGTGGTCCCAAAAAAGTCAGGAGTCACAGTGGTGGAAAACGATAAGGGAGAAATGGTTCCCACACGAGTTCAAAATGGGTGGAGAGTTTGTGTAGATTACATGAACTTTAATTCTATGACTCGAAAAGATCATTTTCCCTTACCCTTTATTGATCAAATGGTAGAACGTCTTGCTAGTCATGCTTATTACTGTTTTCTTGACACGCGACAGTCGTACCAGTTAGAGTTAGGTTTATTTTTGGTAGACACGCGACAGTCGTACCAGTTTATCTCTTTTAATCTAATATCATATCATATCATATCACTTACAAATAAAGCTGGTCTCGTAGCCAGGCCACGAAACATCGACACTTAGCATTCTAGATTTTTTCCAAGCGTCGTGCCACGTAGGCTACAAATTGGTATTATTGTGACATATATGATGCTAAGTAAGCGAATTTTGGATAGATTTTTTTAAGATAAAAATGTTGTATAAAATTTTACTATCGATAAACTTATAATATTTCATATATACAAAATTAATCATAACTTTTAATAGATATCCTATAATTTGGTTCTATTTTCGTCATAAAATTCATTTTAAAAAGTTTTTTAAAGTAAGATCCATTTATATATAATATATTTAATTTTTTTGAAACATCACAGAGAATTATTTTAGTTTGGTGAAAATAATTTCAGCTCAGTGAAAATAATTTCAAGTTGACTACAAAAACTACAAAAGGGATTATATGGCCCTTTTTAAAATTCAAGCCAAAAAATTTATCCTAAAATCCATTTACAAACAAATTTATAAAAAGTACACTATTGTATAAATAAGCGATATGATATCATATGGCCAAATAGTCCAAATCATCAAAAGGGATTATATGGCCGTATTTAAAATTCAAGCCAAAAAATTTATCCTAAATTCTTATCAACGCCCGGGCACAAAACTAGTATATTTTATATATATATATGTGTATATATATATATATGTGTGTGTATATATATATATATATATATATATATATATATATATATATATATATATATATATATTGAAAGGAATGGTGTCCTTCCAACAAGTGTATTATTCTAATAGAGGGTTCAGAATTATTACAGAGCTAATTCTTCAGTAAGGTCAAGTGATCAGAATGCCTAGGTGGAGGCCGCTTCCCATCAGTAATGTTAAGGTATATTACAGCTTAATCTTAACTGAACCCTTCGGGTCGAACCCAATCGAACAACCGATACGAGACGACGAATTAATCCGAAGGATTTAATGAGTCGACAGCGTTTTACGAATACAGACGTCGGATATCGAGCCTAGGGCGTCGAGACCGAGCGTCGCAAAATCACAATCGACAAGTATGAGCGTAGCCGTAGCTAGGCTAGGCTAGCTCATCGCAAGCCTAGGCGCACCATGTGTGTGCTAGGCGCACCATGGTGTGCTAGGCGAGGCATGAGTGCCTGGGTGCTATCGCAGCCCTAACATCATGCCTAGGCGCTATCGCAGCCCTAGCATGATGCCTAGGCACCACCGCTTCCCTATCGCACCAAGCACAGTACCCATGTGTGTGTGCATGTGCGTAGGCACTATCGCAGCACCCTAGCACCACGCACAGCACCATCGCAGTGCTGGGCACTGGCGCATGTGCGTGTGCGTGCATGCCTTGCACCATCGCAGGCCATAGCATGCCTCGCACCATCGCCCAACACGCATGCTAGGCCCTTGCGTGCTTAGTCACTCTGGCTAGGCTAGCAGTGCGTGTGGTGCGTATGCGTGTTGGTGCGCATGCATGTGGTGCGTGTGCGTATGGGCGAGAAGTGTGCTGGGTGTGCGCTGCTAGCAAGTGCGTATGGGCGAGAAGTGTGCTGGGTGTGCGCTGCTAGCAAGTGCGTGGCCTTAGCTGGCATGGCTATGCGTAACAGCGTGTGTGTGAGAGATATTACGTGGGAGTGCTGGGCCAGTGCCAGCATGCTAGCACAACACAACACTAGCACGCAGCACCAGCGCCAAGCATCACCCAGCACCAGCAAGCGCTGGCTAGCTGGGATGCGAGGCTGCTAGCTGGTGCTAGCTGGCAACCAGCACAGCCCCATTGAGGCGGTTTGTGTGTGGGTGTGGGGCCAAGCAAAGCCTTGGGGAGCAAGGCTATGGTCCCCCCCTCCTAACCTTGGCCATCACTCATTTGCATATGATCATGCCACTTGTCGCAATGTGATTAAGTTGATTATTTATTTAATTTAGAATTAAATAAATTATTGATTTTACCAACTCTCCCACATTGGTGGAAGATTGGAAATCAAGAGTGCATTTCCCTATATATACCAAAGGCATGGGTATTGGGAAAAACACAACCTTGAGTGGAATTAAAAGGCAACTCTTGATTTGAGTAAACCTTGATTCGTAAAACTCATAGTTTTATTTGTCCGGGTCTCGACTAACCTTCGAGACTTAGGATGCTCGGGTCGGGTTCGAGGGTACGATCCCGTTGGAGACCTCGTATTTTCGGGGTTCAAGTAAGAGCTCATAGTTGAGCGAAGCACGCGTCAAAGGTATAATCTTTTATCCTTTCTTGTGTTTTAATTATGTTTTTCTTGCTAATTGCATTTATTATGGGGGCGGGTCTTGGCGGGTTTCTTTCCGCGTAGTGAGGGTCACTACGAAACCCAACATATATATAGACCACACCCCTTATGTGAGAACTCTAATTTATATGAAAACAAATCTAGACCATTGATCAAATTGAATCTAACCATCCAAAAGAAACATAGTAATGGCATTTTCGTAATTTTCTGAATTTGAATTACACCTCCTTCTCTCTTTGCTATTCTTCTTGACTTTCATGTTCAACATCTCTTTCTCCTCAAACTTTCAAACCTCTTGTCTTTCTCTCTCCTCAAATTCCAAAATTGAACACAAATTGCTGCAAATTGAAGAATTTTTGTTCAAATTCTGCATAAACAACCTAAATTGCTCAATTCAGGTACGTTTTTTTTTTCGATTTTGTTGAAATTTTCATGAAAAACGCATGATGTTCAAGTAGATTTTGCGATTTTTCGAGTTGATTGCGATTTTATTTTTTGCGATTTTTGTGATTTGATTTTTGCGATTTGATTTATGCGATTTTCTGATTGATTTTCATGAATTTCGCATGAGTTAAAGTCGATTTTTTCATTTTCATATTTTGATTTTCATTTATTTTCGGCAATTTTAGGGTTCAAAGTTTGGCGATTTTAGGGCTGGAATTTCAGCGATTTTAGTGTCCGAATTTCAGCGATATTAGGTAATTTCAGCGCTACTCTTGATTATTATTGTTTGATTTTTTTTCGTCATTTTACCATTTTTTTTGTGCGATTTATGTGTGGTTTTGTTGGGCGATTTTTTGTGGCATTTTTTTTATTGTTGGTGTCGTTGTTGTTGTGCTCGACAGTCAAGTAATGTAGATTGAATTAAGGATAATTGGTGTCGTTGTTGTTGTGCTTTTTTATTGTTCGTGGTAATGGTCTTCCAGGTTTCCTGTGGTCTTTCATTGTGGTTGTTGTGGTTATACCTTATTAGGATTCTGTAACTGCAATGGTGGCAAGTGGATCATCCGATTCAAGAAGGCTGTTTCTAGGCGCTTCTGGGAAGACCTGGTCAGTGGTTCATATTTTTAGTTGTAAATCTTGTCCAATAATATGATATTTCTATATCCTTGTTTAGCTGTTTGAATCATCTGATGATTGAATGTTATGGATGTTGCTCTGGTCCTTTTGGACATACCTTGTATGGGGAAGGGATAATATTGGAGATCTTGCTCTATGAAACAAGCAGATTGCAATTTGAAATATTTGTGACTTTTTCCCAACAACTTTTATAAAGTATATTTCATAATTTTACTAAAAGTCTAATTTGTTAGTTTTAGAAAGTGTGAAATTTTCAATTGAAAGAAATCCAGCTTTTTCTGAAGTGGAATGTAGTTTTTGAGGTAAATAACTCTGCATAATGCTTTCAACTTTTCAAGTGTCGCTTGTTGTGGCTGTTAAAGTAGTATGAAATATGGATATAGATTTTGATTTCTGAAGGTATTGTACGTTTTGCTTGCTTTTGTTTATATGGACAGAAGAAACCTTATTTCATTCTATCATGGCCTCACTGTAGTAGTTTTTTTCTCTTCTGATTTGTGAGCAGTTCAAGATATACTTGCAAGAGAATGACCACGCTACTGCTATAACTCAAATTTAAGCTATGATGGGCTGCACTGACTTCACTACAGAATTCCTTTCACTTGCAGCACATGAAGCTGTTGCATGTCGTGCACTTGAAGTTGCTGTTTTCTCTTTGCATGATCTCCTCAACATCTACACATCTGGAAAACCAATGCCAGTAGCTGAGATAGTTGTGATCCGCACCACTCTGGCAATCCTTGTTCAAGAATCTGGTCATGAGCTTGATGTCTTGAAATATATGAAGAGAGCCCAAACTAGGATGACTAAGCTAGGGCATGATAATTTCTTTGGGAAAGGCGAGGTTGGAAGGCGAGAACGAAACTGGATTGCAGCAAAAGCATGGAATGCAGGGACACGAGTAGGGGTGGAAGAAAGTTATGAATTTTGTGAAGAATTTTTGGCTTTGGCAGCTGAATTCTATAATGTTAAGATTGACAGGGACACAGAAAGAAACAACTAACTATTTGACAAATGAATGATTAAAGAAATGTTTGCTCATTTGACAAATGAGCAACTAATTATTTGCTCATTTGACAAATGTGCAAATAATTTTTTGCTCATTTATCAAATGAGCATATAATTTTTTGCTCATTTACCATATGAGCAAACAATTATTTGCTCATTTAAATGAGCATTAAATAATTTTTGTTCATTTGTCAAATAAGCAAATAATTTTTTGCTCATTTATCAAATGAGCAAAAATGTGCAAATAATTTTTGCTCATTTATCAAATGAGCAAAAATGTGCAAATAATTTTTGCTCATTTATCAAATGAGCAAAAAAATTCAATGCTCTTTGTCAAATGAGCAAACTATTTAATGCTCATTTGTCAAATGAGCAAATGATTCTTGCTCATTTTGTCAAATTTAATGCTCATTTGTGAGTGTGTTTGAATGTTTTAAATACATTAGCCTACTAACTCAAGGGTAGAGCATTGTGCAAATGCACAAAAGATGTGGGTTCGAATCCCACGTAGGTTCATTTATGTAATGTGGAGACACAAGTTTGTAGTGTGAGCAAAGAAATGAGCAAACTACACTCAATTGGTCTAGCAACTCAGAAACCTAAAAGGGGTATATTTGGGGATATTAGAGAAAAATAATGGGTGGTTTTGAGAATTTGAAGAAGGTTTTAAATTGATATGCCATGTTTAAACATTACAATTTCAGTTGCATATCCCCTGTTACAAGATTGGAGTTCCTACTCATAATCCTCCAAGATTATCAAAATGGGGTTGCTGCAAGATTTGAGGCTCATGTAAAGGAATTAGTAGATAATCTGAAAAGTACTTCACTTGAAACTGTAAGAGAAGCTACTTCAGAGCTCAGGATTGCAGGATAATAGGGTTCTTCAGCATTTGAGAAACCTACAAGCAGCTTATAATGCCAGGCAGGCAGAAAGTATACCTGAAATACTGCAAATGTCGTCTGTGATAACTTCTATTTGTGAATTAGCTGAGGGATACATACATATTAATTTAGTTCTTCTGAGTGGTTTAATCTTCTGTGCATATATAAAGAAAAAGTATTGAACAAAGCATAGTTGAGCAGAAAAGGAGAGATTATCAAGTTTTTTTTTAAGGTTTTTTTTTATATAGTTATTTATAAATACAGCCTATGTAGGATTCGAACCTACATCATCTATGCATTTGCATAGTGCTCTACCACTTGAGCTAATAGGTTTTTGATAAATATCAACACCCTCTCATAGAAGCAGAGGAAAAGAATCACATGTAGAAACTGAAATGCCTCCATTATTACTACAAAAGCCACCATAGCTCACAAATTACCCAACACATGCTCACCCAACACAACTACTACTAGGAAGTATTATCAAGTAAATTAGTAACAAGTAAATATGCACCCCATTAAACACACTTACACACACACTCTCAATAATTAGAACTGATATTAGATTCTTAAATAAGAATGTACACGGCCAGGAGCAAACACACACACTTACACATACACTCTTACACTCACTCACACACACACACACACACACACACACACACAATAATTTCATAATCTAAAATTAGAACTGAAACCAGTTTCTGAAATCAGAACAGCAAGCAGAAAGATGAAGGGGCAAGGGGATAGGTTTGTGGAGGGAAGTGGAAGAAGGGAGTGTGGTTGGTGTGCAGGAAACAGACCAAGAAGAAGGGGGTGGGGCTTGTGCATAGGAACTCAATGCTCATTTGTGAAATAAGCAAACAATTCTTTGATCTTTTGTCAAATGAGCAAATAATTGAATGTTCATTTGTCAAATGAGCAAATAACTCAATGCTCATTTGTGATATTAGCAACTAAGTATTTGCTCATTTGACAAATGAGCAACTAACTTATTATTGTTGCTCATCACATATTATCAAAACAAGCAGCTAAATAAACTTATACATCACATATTATCAAACCAACTTCTGTTTTTAGTACTCATTTTACATGGCAAACATCTAATTCTACCAACTACATTCTCCTTAAGCCGAGTAATCATTTGATCAGCATTAATAGTCCCTTGTTCAATTCCATGTGATAGCATTCCTCAAACGACAAATAATTACCAAGCATTTTCTAACAAGCAATTTATCAAACACCTTGTATGCACTATCAGGATATTCAAAACATACTCATTGATAATTACCAATTGTTCAGTTAGTTGATCAATCTCTACCCTGACAATGAAATCACCCTTAGGCCCAACCAAGTCTTTGACACCATACTTCTTCCTCCTGCGGACCTAAATTAAGAACACTCAAAGTAAAAAAACCGAGCTGACTTTGAAAACCTTATCGGTCTCGAGGCTTTGAATTTCAACTGCTCCATGCGGATATACGTTCACCACTTGAAAAGGGCCCTCCCAACGGGACCGAAGTTTTCCGGAAATAATCTAAGTCGGGATTGATATAGGAGTACTTTGTCACCGACTTTGAACTCCTTCCGCGTGATCATTCGATCATGCCATAGCTTGGTCTTTGCTTTATAAGTATCGGCATTCTCATAGGACTCAAGCCGGATCTCCTCTAGTTCTTGGAGTTGCAATTTCCGATGTTCACCCGCTTCATCCAATTGCATGTTAAATGACTTAACCGCCCAATATGCTTTATGCTCAAGCTCAACCGGAAGATGGCACGGTTTTCCGAAGACAAGGCGGTAAGGGGACATCCCGATAGGTGTTTTGTATGCGGTGCGGTACGCCCATAGAGCATCCTCCAACCTCAAACTCCAATCCTTCCTATCCGGATTCACCGTTTTTCTGCAGAATTGACTTCACCTCTCTATTGGACACCTCGGCTTGCCCATTGGTTTGTGGGTGATAAGCCGTGGAGATTTTGTGGTGAACGGAGTACTTCCTCAACATAGCACCCACTGTACGGTTGCAAAAGTGCGTTCCTCGGTCACTTATCAACGCCCTCGGGATTCCAAACCTAGAAAATATGTAAGATTTGATAAAACCTGAAACCACTTTAGAATCGTCAGTCCTAGTGGGTATTGCTTCCACCCACTTCGACACATAATCACAAGCAAGAAGTATATAAGTAAAACCGTGAGAAATAGGGAATGGTCCCATGAAATCTATACCCCAAACATCAAATATTTCACAATATAGTAAAGAGGATTGGGGCATTTCACTTTTCTGGGAAATGTTACCTACTCTCTGGCAATTATCACAAGATTTACAAAATCCATAGGAATCTCGAAACAAACTTGGCCAGTAAAAACCACAGTCGAGAACCTTCCTTGCTGTGCGTTTGGCTCCAAAGTGTCCGCCACAAGCATGAGAATGACAGAAGGTGAGAATAGGGATCACCTCATTTTCGGGAATGCATCTGCGAATGATTTGATAGGAGCAGAACTTCCACAAGTATGGATCATCCCATGCATAGTACTTCGCATCATTTCGAAGCTTGTCCTTTTGAGACTTTGTGAAACCTGGAGGAAACTGTTGAGAAACCAGAAAATTCACAATGTTAGCAAACCAAGGCCGCAAATCCTTAAGAGCAAATAAAGATTCATCCGGAAATTCTCCTAGGAATTGGTATGGAAATGATGGTTGATCAACAATATGGGACAAACGACTCAAATGATCAGCAACTAGATTTTCCGCGCCTATCTTGTCCTTGATTTCCAACTCAAACTCACATAAGAGCAGAATCCATCTTATTAGTCTTGGTTTGGCTTCTTTCTTCGTCATCAAGTGGCGAAGAGCTGCATGATCAGTGAAAAACAATTACTTTAGTACCAAGCAAATAACATCGAAAATTTTCTAGAGCAAATACTACAGCTAACAACTCTTTTTCTGTGGTAGTGTAGTTTCGTTGGGCTGAATTGAGGGTCATTGAGGCATAATAGATCACATGAGATGCCCTCCCTACTTTCTGGCCTAACACAGCTCCAACTGCATAATCACTCGCATCACACATTATCTCAAATGGTAGAGACCAATCTGGGGCTTGAATGATAGGGGCAGAAATGAGCTTAGCCTTCAATTCGTCGAAAGCCTTCTTGCAATCATCATCAAAGTGGAATTTCACATATTTCTTGCAGCAATTTGCACATAGCATTCGCAAGCTTTGAGAATCCTCAATGAACCTACGATAGAAACCTGCATGGCCAAGAAAGAACGCACTTCACGCACATTAGTAGGATAAGGAAGAGACTGAATAGTATCAATCTTAGCCTTATCAACCTCCATACCTCTAGAAGAGACTACATGACCTAACACAATGCCCTGTTGGACCATAAAATGACATTTCTCAGAATTTAGGACGAGGTTAGAGTCAATACATCTTTTAAGGACCATAGATAAGTGATGCAAGCATTTATCAAAAGAATCACCATAAACAGTGAAATCATCCATAAATACTTCCATGAAATGCTCAACGAACTCAGAAAAGATTGCTCATCATGCATCGCTGAAAGGTTTGCAGGTGCATTACATAGTCCAAAAGGCATACGTCGATACGCAAATGTGCCAAAAGGACATGTAAAAGTTGTCTTCTCTTGATCTTCAGGTACAATGGGCACTTGAAAGTACCCAGAATACCCATCAAGGAAACAGTAATAAGATTTCCCTGCAAGTCTTTCGATCATTTGGTCAATAAAAGGTAAAGGGAAATGGTCTTTCCTAGTTACTGCATTCAACCTACGATAATCAATGCAAACTCGCCAACCATTTTGAACTCTAGTAGGAACCATTTCACCCTGTTGATTTTCTACCACAGTCACACCACTTTACTTAGGAACCACCTGCGTAGGACTGACCCATTTACTATCAGATATAGGAAATATCATTCCTACTTGCAATAATTTTATGATCTCCTTCTTTACCACTTCCATCATGGGAGGATTCAGGCGACGCTGAGGTTGCCTCACAGGTTTGGCATCATGTTCTAGCAGAATACGATGCATGCAAGTGGATGGACTTATTCCCTTAATGTCTGCAATGGTCCATCCAATAGCTAACTTGTGCTCTTTCAGCACTGTCACCAACTTGTCCTCTTGCTTCTTGGTCAATTTGCT